ATGTATTAAAGAAGCAAAGGCATGTAGCAAATAAAGCACGTGACAAATAATAACATGGGATAAATGAAGGCGTGATGTAATTGACTACAAGTAGTAAGTATCCCACCATGCATACTCAAACCCATGACAATGCATATACACTCATCATCTTGCATATACGATGTTCCCACACATAATTCAAGTAGCAAATAGATCAATCAAGTGCTAATTCCCTCAAGTCAAATTTAACCATTACACTTACCTTTTTACGGAACAAAATCAACAATCAATCATGACTTTTCCTTTAGAACAAGCCTCCAAGCCAACTGAATCTAGATAATTATTTGAAAAAATTCAAAACAAGCTTTAGAAACTATCCACGAATGAAAAAGGTTCAATATTTAACTAAATTGAAAAAGTCAACAAAAGTTAACGTCGAGGCCACGTGGTCGAAATTCGAGATTTGGACCAAATCCCAGTTACCCTTTCACCCGTGAGCCTCGTTATGTGATTTGTTTCGAAATCCGACCTCAATTCGAGGTCTAAATCTCAATTTTATAAAATTCTAAAATTCTACCCAAAACTCCTAATTTTTACTTTGAAATTCATAGATTTGATGATTAAATTCATGAAAAAGTAATTAAAATTGATTGAAAACTAGTTAAAGTTGCTTGCCAATGAATTTGGGAAGAAAATCATCTTCAAAATCGCCTCTAGAGAGTTTAGGATTGAAAATGGTGTAAATTGAGCTAAGTTCTGAAATTCCTCTCTTTTACCCAGCTGCAGGTATCGCAATTGCGACTCTTGTTTGAAATTGCGATGTTCACACAAGCAAACCATTGTTCGCAAAAGCAAACAGTTGCCCAGTCCCTATGATATCGCATTTGTGACAAAATGGTCGCATATGCAAGTAGCCCCTTACTCGCCAAAGCAAGACAGCCTTCGCAAATATGAAGACCGTGCAGTCCAGCCTCCAATTGCATTTGTGACATTACCATCACAAAAGCGAAGACTCCCAGCCACTTCGTATTTGCGATATCCATTTCGCATTTGCAAATATCACAGTTCCTCACCAAATTATAACATTTGCGGGCCCAACATCGCAAAAGCGATACTCGCAATTGCAAAAAGGTCATCGCATTTGCGAGACCTGCAGAGCCGATGCACCAGATTTCCTACAGCAATTCAAAACTTAGCTACAACATATCCGAAACTCAACCGAGACCGTCGGCTCTAATCCAAATATTTACAAAAGTATAATAACATCATACAAACTCACTTGCTACCTCAAATCATCACAATAACATCAAATATCAAGAATTAATCATCAAAACTGAAGATGTTTAACTTAAAAACTCAACTTTTGCCAATTTTTACATAATACGCTGAGACGCCCTCGAATCACTTGCTACCCCAAACTCACTTGCTACCTCAAATCATCACGCCCTCGAATCACCCGGGACCCCAAACTTACTTTCTACCCCAACTTTTGCCAATTTTCACATAATACAAACTCACTTGCTACCTCAAATCATCACTCGAATCACATGTCCAAAAATATCATACAAACCTATCGAAATTGTCAAAATACCGATCTGAGGTTGTATGCCAAGAACGCTGACTGTGGTCAACTCAAGCCTTATTTTAAGTTAAAAATTATATTTTTTTTAAAATTTCACATGATAGCTTACCGAAAAATGATACAGACCACGCACGTATCTCATATATCATCAAATAGAGCTATGTGAGATCTCATAACATACAAAAAGGAGCTAGTACTCACAACAACTTATCGGGTCATCACACATACATGCATAGCTAGGTTATGGCCATAGCCGAATAGAGTTAGGCTTATGATATGCCTTATGTGGATGACTTAAATTGTTTATCCATGTTTCATTGATTTATGAATACATGGTGATTCTTAATAATGTTTGGAGGCCATGATAGGTTTATGACATGTTGATTTGGATATGATGTACTTCTTTCATCGTGTCGGGATTTCTAACTTAACCGTAGTCATACAATTGCGTTACTTGCTTTATGATTTATTGGCTTTTGCCTCACTTTGCTTTTGTTTATATCATGATCAGACTTAAGAAAGATAAATAAGCATAGTGGACTATTATGAAGAGTTGAAATACATTATTAGGCATAGCCATCTCTTATTTATGTAAATATTCATCTGTATTTTATTATTAAGTCATGGTGCATATTTATCATATGATAGGCACATGCATGAGTTGGAGAGTTGGATATTAAATAAAGTTGAGGAATTTGGAACCAAAGACATTGCGAGCGGATATTGGTTATTTATTATTGATGGTATTGTGATTGGACGGTTGTACGCTGCAACAATATTAGATTGGATCAGGTTGCACGCTGCAATAGCACTCGGATATAGATTCGTCCCTCCGGAATCAGGTGATTAGTCATGTTACTTTGGGTCTTATGAGCGCAGGAACCCAGATTGGCGCTCAGTTTGGACACTTGGCCAGTGCAAGGAATATGGATTTGTGCTATGAGGTATTGAGAGTGGATTATAAGTTCGCATTTGAATTTTAGATTCATACAATAGCTTTTATATAAGCTTTGATTGACTCATATCATGATTATGAAAATAATTGAGGTATTTGACATTGTAATCTAACTCTTTTGCCTAAAAAGCATGCCTAAATTTCAGATTTACTATGCCTTTACCTCTTGTAATTATTTGATAATACTGTGCCTTATTTATTTTTCTATTTATGCTTTCACTTTTTTATTGGACTGTTAGTAGGTGTTAGTATCGACCCCTTATCACTACTTGTTCGAGGCTAGACTTAATACTTATTGAGTACCATAGTTTTGTACTCATTCTAGACTTCTGTATATTTTTGTGCAGATTTGAACGTTGTTAACAGTGGTACCCATCCAGCTGTATAGGAGCTTACTTAAAGACTTAGAGGTGAGCTACTTAATTTGATCGATTTGCAGCACATAGAGTCTCACTTCCCTACTTCCCTATCCCTATCTATTTACTTCTTTCCAAATAAATGTTATTATTTAGTAAAGACATTTTAACTCTTGTTAAATGCTCATGAAGATGTGACATCGGATTTTGGGAGTTTGTGAGACAGTTGTGGTTGTGTTTAGACCATGTCTCTGACTTATGCATTCGTGATGTTATGCATTAGAATGACTTGTGCATTCTTAATATTCTTAGGAATAATTAAATTAGGAAGTCTTGTTAGTCTGCAGAAGAATCTAATATAGAATTATTACTCAAGGCTAATTAACATAAACTCTCTCATATTTATTAGATCATGAAATACATTGGATCGTTACTTGAGTGTAATATTCCTTGTATTCGTGCTTGTAGCCATTGATTATTTTACTTGCTCTCTAGGTTAGTTTATATTTCCGCATTAGCTCTAATAGTTTTTGAAACCCCTTATTAATGTTTGGCTTAGCATAAAAGTGATAATTCTATTACTTGCCTAATCGCCTTCATATTTTTTCCTATGGAGTTTGACCCCGACTCATAGTTGAATAATTTATATTGCATGTGACCGTATGCACTTACTCTTAGAAGAGTGGATTTGGACGTTATCAATTTTGGCACTATTGCCGAAGAATAATTTGCCGCATTTAGGTTGTTTTAGAAGTAAGTGTGCCTGCTTTGTTCCATACTTGTGAATATTTGTGTAGTTATTTTTCTTATCTTTGTTTATTCTTGTTTAGATACTTAGTTTTTATAAATGGCATCACGTAATGAAAATTTATTGGATGGTAGTTGTTCTTGCTTTGATGACCCTTGTCCTTATTGTGGAGGACCACACTTATGGAAAAATTATTTAAATTCTCCCGGAGGCAGATTTTGCGCATAATCTCAAACTTATGAGAGTATATATGATAGGTGTGGTGGCCAAAATGGTCATTTGGTCAATTGTGCTTATTTGTACTTTCCTACACCGAAATCGAACTATAATGATCCTACTTTTGGTTGTGACAATTATAGGGGTATGAAAGTGGAAGAAGTTGAGCATGATCAAAATTGAGAGTTCAAGTTAATGATGGAATGCCTATTTGATGGAGGAAACAACAAGCAAAAATCCTTGGAGGAGCTTTTGAAAAATAGTCTCCAAAATAGTTTGGTGACTGAAAATGAAAATCCTTCTTTGGGAATTGAACAAAATCAATAAGTCTAAAATTCTCAAAATGAGAGGATAATGTTTATGTTGGAGGCTAATATTGAAAAATTAGGAGAAGCAAAACTTAGCACTCGAGGACTTGAAACAAGTATTAAATCGGAACAATGAGACTATCCGCTCCTTGGAAGATCAAGTTAAACCATTAGTTGAGGCTCATAATATTCTCAAACTTGAGAGTGGGCAAAGAGGTCAAGAAAATTCCAACTTCAAGGAAGAAAGTGAGATTCATTTTCAGGAATCAAGAACTGAACATCTGCCAACCGACTCAATACTGGTGGGTGATGGTGATAAAAAATTGGGATTAGAGTCAACCAGCGTAATTGAAAATATAGTTGAAACTGAATCTAGCTCGAGAGAAGAAGAGGATGTCAAAATCCGAGAAAATTTACAAATTGAGAGCTCGGTGTCTCATTCCAAGTATTTATCAACATTGGAGTTGTGTGTGATATAGGAACCGAACCACGTGAATCAATAAGGGATTGCGGAGAAGAGAGGTAAAGGTCATACATTTTGAAATTTGAAGGCGTAAGACGGCACAATGACATTTCTTATATGAAAGCCAAAAAGTACAAAATGAATAACTTGATGTGTGGCTTGTTCATCTACATACCACCCCTCGCTGGTCACAAGCATGAATCCACATTAGGTGCTGAATTCATAAATTCCAAAAGGTGAGAAAGGTGGTAAAGTTGACTTGCATCATGCAAACATTAAATACGGCGCTTGATAGGAGGCAACCCGTCATTTTTAAAATTTTAGATCATTTTTGAATTTTTTTTAAAAATAGTTTATTATATTATTTTTGAATAATCTGTAAAGTTTCTGATTTTTTGGAGTTGGATTGAGCAGGTTGAGGTGCTGGAGACAAGCCAAAATAGTGGCTATCAACTTTTCTACTAGATATCTTTTGCAACCGCATCAATAAAAAATAAAGCGCAGATGTGCATGCCACATTGAAGATGTGTTTTTTTCACAGAAGCGGAATTGTTGTCACAAAAGCGGTAAATATTTTGCAGGTGTGCTTTGTCAGGTCAATTTAATGAATCCTTTATTAGATAAAACTAAATCCCTTTTTCTCCCAACCCCAAACGCCTCTCCTATTGCACCATTGCACAACCACTGGCACATCACCATCCAGGGGAACCAGGTAATTCCCCATTCTCTTCTTGTTCTATTTCGTTCTTCCTCTCAGCTCTTCTCTCTTCTTCTTCTCTATCTTCACAATAGCTATTTCCCTAAGCCCCTCTTTTCCTCTCTATTGATTTTAGTTTTAGGGTGAGAAAATAGGTTGAGTGTAATTGTGTGTGGTGTTTTGTTGAACAAAAATAATAGGAGAAGTCTGAGTGCCTGATTAGTTTAAAAGAATCAAAGCATTCTCTGTGCTCGTTAAGTGTTCGACGATTTGGCTTAGAGAAATATATTTGTCGTTTGTCTTGAAATAATGTGGAATCAAGTCTTGAATTCATGTATTATAATACTTTAGAAGTCTTGAGTATAAATTTTGTGCAAAAATCATGATTTGAATTAAAACAATTGTCAGCTTCTTGCTTTTTGAAATTCTGATTAAAGAATTGCCGCAGATGCGGCCTCGCACCTGCGATGAATCTTCCTCATATGTGAAGTTTAAATAGTGAAATGTCGCAGAAGGGATTCGTTTTTCGCTGAAGCGATGCTGCACCTGCGCTAGTTTTTTCACAGGTGCGATGGCTGTGTAATTTTCGGTAAACCAGTAGCTTTGAAACTAAGGCTTGTTGGGCCCCTTTGGCTTATTCTTTGGCTAAATTGCTGTGTTCTAAATTACTTAACATGATTCTAATGCACGTCTAACTTGGTTTTGATTTTTTTGAAGTACTTTGAGCTGTGAAAATGGATTCTAGCATGAATGAAGTTGTGGCTGATGGCACGAAATTGAATAGAAGGCTATGTTGGAGCAGTATGATACTTTAGATTAATGTCCGTTGATTGTCATCGCTGAGTTGTGCCAGCGGGCAAATGTGGATGTGCATGGAACTGATCATTAGATACTTGCATCCGTTGAGAGTAGAAGGAGAGGGTAGTTCTTTGAAGAGCTAGAAAAAATAGGCAGAGTTACATGAGAAATTAGAAGTTGTTGTTAACAGGCTTGAGACAACATATGGGAATATGTCCAAGGCACATGTCTCTCTTCAGGCAGATTTCAAAGCAGAGAAAAAGAAACACAAGAACAAGAGCAATTTCATGGTCAAAATATAGAGAGGCATCAATGCAATCTTTAAATGGGGGCAACCGAATAAGAAGGTACCGATTGAGGACGAGGATGACAGTGAGGAGTATTCTTTCGTATTGGATGATGATGATGATCATGATGCTGGTGATGATGGGGCTCAGAGTTCTACACATCAGTGATGAGGAAGCACAATTAGAGGTAATTACGAAATTCAGGGTGCTTCAATGTTTGAAACTAAAGGTCAATAAGGATTATGTGGTTTAAAAAAAGTGAATTACAAAAAAGAAAGAAAAATGTTGGTATAGGATGTTGTAACTTGCATCCCAAATGCTTATCCTATCCTTCCCTAAGCCTACATTACAAGTTTAAATAATCCTTATGTGATCCAACCAAATGGTATTATATTTGTTAGCACTAGAACTTTTTCGTTGAGAGTGAGACTTTGTGCAAATATTCCTTGTGTTGTTGTTGTGAATATGGTGAATTTGGAACTTTCTTTATTGTGAGGGCATATGAATTATGATTGATTGGTAACGTTAATAATCCCCAATTGAGACAAATATGCATATTTAGTAGACTAGTACTTTTGAGTCACTTCTTGATGCTTGGTTTTTGTCACTTGAATATTTTGAAACTCCATTGCATTATTGAGATTGTGTTTTTAAATGAGGGAGTTATTTGGTTAAAGTTCACATACTTGTAGCCTAATTATTAGTACCAACCAAAGCCATAAGTATTGTGATTAATTGGAGAATATGATTTTGGAATGATAGCAATACTAATTGAGATTTAAATGGTAGAGCCTCATTGAGTGTTTTGTTTTGATTTGCTTGAGGACAAGCAAAGACTTTAAGTAGAGGTGTTGATAAGCGGTGATTTTATCATTTATTCTAGTCTCTTTGCTTTAATTTTTGTATCCTTTAATTATAATATGAGATAATTTATGGTGTGTATTGCTAGTATTTCAGGCACAATGAGTCATGAAGAAAATTGATGTCACGACCCGAAGTCTAAGCAGGCTTGAGCTTCTAATGAGTCTCCTCACACTCATCAGACCATCTAAAAAGAAAACCTTTCTGACTCAACTTAATCAATGGAGCTGCAATAGATGAAAATTCCTTTACAAAATGACGGTACTAGCCTGCCAAACCCAAGAAACTCTAAATATACATAGTTGTAGTAGGTCTAGGCCAATTCTTAACTGCCTCAATCCTATTGGGATCAACCTTAATACCTTCACCAGACACCACGTGACCCAAGAATACAACTAGTCTTACCAAAACTCATATTTGGAGAACTTAGCATAAAGTTTCCCTTTCCTCAAAATCTGAAGCACAATCCTCAAATGTTGCTTATGCTCCTCCTACTACAAGAGTAAACCAAGATTTAATCAATGAACACTAGCATAAAAGTATCCAAATAAGACTTGAATACCTTGTTCATCAAATCCATGATTCCGCTAGAGAATTAGTCAAGCTAAATGACATCACTAAGAACTTATAATGAACATAACGAGTCATAAAAGCCTTCTTAGGGTTATCCAAAGCCCTAATATTCACCTGATGATAACCCGATCTCAAGTCAATCTTAGAGAACAACCTAGTATCTTGAAAATGATCAAACAAAAAATAAATACGAGGCAATGGATACTTGTTCTTGACAGTAATCTTATTCAAATACCTATAATCAATGCACATCCTCATAGTGCCATCCTTCTTCTTTATAAACAACACTAGTGCAACCCAAGGAGAAACACTCAGTCTAATTAATCCCTTATCAAGCGAATCTTGCAATTGCTCCTTCAAATGCTTCAACTCAGCTGGAGTCATACGGTATAATGGAATAGATAAGGGCTAATAGGAACACATGAAATGCAGCACCCTCAGAAAGGGACGTCAGTACAAAATAATGTACCGAGTATGTAAGGCAATATACTGAAAGCTGAA